TTTTCACTGATCATAAGAGCTTGCAATATATTTTTACTCAGAAAGAGCTCAACATGCGTCAGCGGCGTTGGTTAGAACTTGTGAAAGATTAGGATTGTACCATTCAATATCATCCGGGGAAAGCGAATGTCGTTGCTGATGCCCTAAGCCGTAAGGTGAAGGGTGATTTAACTTACGTTGTTACTCAGCAGAACCATCTTATCCAAGAATTTGCTCGGATGCAAATTCAGATTGTTGATGCACTTCCTGCGGCGATTACCGGGAGTATTAATGCTATGCAGGTTCAACCAACGTTAAGGGAGAGAATCCGGCGGGAGCAGATGTCTGATGAATTTATTCGTATTATTAATGCTAAAGTCCGTGCCAGAGGTGTCGAAGGTTTCCAATTGGGTTCGGATGGAGCCTTAGAAGTTCGAGGAAGAATCGTCGTGCCAAAAGTCAAAGCGTTGCGGAAGGAAATTTTGTCTGAAGCTCATACCGCACCTTATTTAGCTCATCCGGGAAGTACGAAGATGTATCATGACCTGAAGAGATCGTTCTGGTGGCGTGGAATGAAGAAGGACGTTGCCGACTTCGTAAGAAAATGTTTAACCTGTCAACAAGTCAAAGCAGAACACAAGAGTCCCTTGGGCCTTCTGCAACCACTCGAGATTCCGAAGTGGAAGTGGGAGGAAGTCACGATGGATTTTGTCACAGGGTTACCGAAGTCATCTAAACATCACGATGCTATCTGGTCGTGGTGGACAGATTGACTAAGGTTGCTCATTTTATGCCAGTATCGATGAATATGTCTTTGGATAAGTTAGCCGAGATTTATACCGAGGGAGTTATCCGGCTTCACGGAGTGCCTGTTACTATTGTGTCAGACAGGGATCCCAGATTCACTAGCAGATTTTGGGAAAGTTTGCACAAGGCAATGGGCACGAGATTAGAGTTTAGTTCCGCTTATCATCCTGAGACTGACGGACAATCCGAGCGGACTATTCAAACACTGGAAGATATGTTGCGATCTTTGGTTGTTGACAGGGGTGCTAAGTGGGAGTCGTTATTACCATTATGTGAATTTGCTTATAATAACAGTTATCACTCTTCTATTCAAATGGCTCCTTATGAAGCACTATACGGTCGTAAATGTCGTTCCCCTCTTTATTGGGACGACGTCGGTGAACGCCGAATACTTGGTCCGAGCAGGATCGCAGAAACGGCGGCAGATGTAGAGTTGATCAGACAAAGACTTCAGGCAGCTCAGAGTCGGCAGAAATCATCAGCCGATCAACACAGACGTGATATTCAGTTCGAAGTTGGGGAACGAGCCTTCCTTAAAGTTCGTCCATTCCGAGGGATCATTTGATTCGGAAAGAGAGGAAAGTTGCATCCTCGTTACATTGGCCCGTTCGAAGTTCTCGAACGAGTGGGCGAAGTTGCTTATCGTTTAGCCTTGCTTCCCGAATTATACAATGTTCATAATGTTTTTCATGTGTTCATGTTACGTAAATACGTGTGCGATCCAGATCATATTCTTCAGCATACTGATATCCAGATTCAGCCAGACTTATCTTACGAGGAAAAACCGGTAGCCGTTTTAGACCGAGAGATTTGTCGACTCCGGAATCGTGAGATTTTCCTCGTTCGTATTCAATGGGATCGCCACGGTGCCACTTGGGAGCAGGAAGCTGATATTCGCGCTCGTTTTCCTGATTTCCAGTTTTGATGTATATATTTCTTATGTTGCATATATAGGTGTTCAGTTTGATATTTCCGAGGACGGAAATATTTTAAGGGGGTAGATTGTAATAGCCCATTTTTACCTAATTTAAATTACGTACTTAGTTTTGTAATGTTCATATTACTCTTGGAATCATTAAATATCCAAAGTATAAGTCAATTTATGTTCAATCGCCCGATAAAAAAATATTATCAAATCAAATCATACTTAATGGAGCAGTAAATGTGCTAATCTTGCGCTAATCATGTATGATCATGCGCATAATCGTACTTAGTGATTCCTTAAGTACCTCAATTATGTTCATTTTAAGCCTAAGTAATCATTCTTCTATTATATGTTCTTAATCATAGGTCATTGCACGGTAAGTGTGTGTGATTTCCTTTAATTACCCTAGCCTAAGCTAATCGCGAGCAAATCAAGCCTTAAATGTGCTTAAGTATTTAATGAACGCAAGTGGATGGGAACTTGGGGCAAAGTCACGTGAATATTTATCTTTCCTAGCCATGTGGCCTCTTTGTGCCAAGTAATGTGTGACTAAGCAATAAATGGTACACCTCGTGGCCCTAGGACGCGGCAAATGGCACGAGCTCATTGGCTAAGGATTTTACTTCACGTTTTTCCTCTTTTCACCGCCTATAAATCATGTGTTGGGACATATTTGTAGCTTATAACTTAAGCTATTTCCTAAGCACACTCTAAGCAAGATTAAGATATATTAATCCTAGCCTTACGTACGCGCGCAAGGGAGAAGAAAAGTGACGAACTATCACCAAATTCTTATCAATTTTCTTCGGGCAATCAAAGGGTAATATGATACTAACCTTATTATGATGTTATATATATCATGCCAAGTTCAAATTATAAGTCTAAGTTCATGTAATGATCGAAAACGCTCTCGGGTGTGCATTTTAGGGCCATATCAACTCATCTCTTTATGTAGTCGACTTCTATCGAGCAAATCATGCATCATTAGTCCTTATTTAATGTGTTATGTTCAGTCTTAAAAGATAGCACGAGATAAGTATTCATTTTGTTCATGAAATGGCTAAGGGAAGTGGACCGCGCACGTAGCGCGCGCCCACGGGCCGTGTCTTACCCTATTAGGGTATCTTTCATTATGATCAACTTTGTTAGGGACATTTGTGTTCCAACAACCTTTAAATGATAAAATATGGTCAATGAACTCATGTTGCCCGAGAAAAGTTCATGTTTGGTCGAGGGTACACGTTAAGGCCGTCGGACGCGCCTATCGCGTACGCCGTGGCCAATCACATCAATTTTCATGTTATTGTCATGACCCTCAGACCCATGTATGTATAAATGTGTTAATAATGTCAAGTTATGTCATTTTGATCAAGGAAAGTGGCCGAACGGCCGGCAAGGGCCGGTCACGGCATGCTGCCGCACATAGCGGCCATGCACGCTGGCCGGCAGTACTCCCCTAGCATCATGCACGCGTGAACCCGAGCCAGTCGCTCGTGCCACGCGCAGTTAATCTCGGGTCGTGCCAACAGCGCACCCGAGTACTTGTTACCATGCCTCAGTGAACCCGGGTAAGGTTCACAGGCCTCGGGACGTGCCCTGCCACACGCCCGAGCAATCAGTTGGCCCGGGACGTGCCCAACAGCACGCCCGCGTGCCCAGGGTCGCCCGGTAGCGCCCTGACAAGCCTTAGTCGCATCCGAGACACGCGAGAAATATCTGTTCGCGTCTGTCCTCACGCCAGCCGCACCTGGGTCGTGCCAGCCACACGTCCAATGCCCAGTCAGCCCGGGTACGCGTCTGTCCCGCGTCCCTCGCGCTCGGCCAGTGCCAGGGCCAGTGCCAGCCGCACTGCCCGCGCCCAGCAGCACCTAGTGCCGAGGCCAGTCGCACCTAGCCCGTGTCCAGTGCCGTGCCATGGCCCCAACAGGCCCGGCACGGGTCTGAGCCCGGCCAGCCCATGACTACCCGGTCTAGTGTGGACCGGTGGTCCAATCGGTCCGGTCCAGCCGACCCGGTTCATCCAGTTAGTGAACCGGCCGGTTTAGCCGACAGTTCGATTCCGTTTTGGTTCGTAATTTTCAGTCCGAGTCTTATTCTGAAATATAAATTATTTTCCGAGCCAAATCAAATCAGTTAAGTATATCAATATAATTTCTGGACTTAGAATTATTTTTGTGAACCTTTAGAGCGTTCCTTTATATCCGGACATCATATTAAGTCGAGTCGAGCATCTTAACAGTTAAATTTATTGATCTGAGCATAGTACTTAGTAATTGTTTATATCATGTTACAGTTTGATCAGTTCACGACTATCAGCACTTCCAGTTTCATATCTTCAGTACAGGTGGGGACTCAGACTGGGTATTACATTGATTATAATTACGATATCATGTTCAAGGTATGTCAAATTATGTTTTCCGCTTGGAATGGATGTTGGCCGGTTCAGGTTGCCATAATTCCGTTCTAAGTTCTAGTGGCGTCATCTACCACTAGTATGTGCACATGGATTCCGGCAATCATTGTTATCATCATTATCATTATTATCATGGCAGCCGGTAGATTCACGGATCCCGGTCCGGTTTATACTGTTGACCAGGAAATTCACGGTTATGTTATATGCTTTTGATCATGATGTACTATTATTATTGTTGTTTACTTTAGTATGAGTTCCTACGGAGTACAGTGGTACTCACACCCCATTTTTATTAAATTTTTCAGGTCATGAAGTCGGTCCGGAGCTGTGAAGTTGACGGGTGGATCGAAGTTAAATATTTTGTTGTCTTGTTTTGCCACGCTATGTTCCGCTGAACTTACTGTTTGACAAACTTTGACTTTTGATCCGATTTCATAGTCGGATTGTATATTATATTAATCCGTTTTGCTTGTAAATTTTAAACGATCGTAACGGATTTTTAAAGATAAAATAAATCTTTTAGTAACGCTCCGAATCATTTTCTTAAACTATTTCTAAAAGATGTCTCTAAAACGTACTCTGATAGTTAAGTTAAGGCGGGGCGTTACATCTACCGAAGGAAAGGGACTCTCCTTTTGCCTTTGGAGAGGAGAAAGCAGAGAAGAAAACGTCCTTCGCGCAAGTGTTTTTGCTTCCTGCGCCTAACCTAGTAAAGGGGATCTTCGACCAAGGAGGCATGAAGGTAGGAAGGCCAACCACTACAGTTGCTGCCATCGATCCAGGAGAGAAGCAAGCTACCTTTTTTTGATCCGCCTTACCAGGCAGGGAAGAGAATGAAAATAGGCCGTTGGTCATGGTAGGTTCGAGGATCTTACGCTAAGGAGCGAACTCCTCTATCGTCTTGCATTTCCTCTGGTGGCGTAGCTGCACCCCCTTGATCCATCGTACTAGAGCGATCCAAGAAGAACGATTAGGGTCATATTCTATCCTTTCTACAATGCCAATAGACGAAGTGCTTCGTTTCAGATCAATTCTTCGCTGCAATCGCTTCGATCCACCCCCTCGGTGAAAAAGCGTAATTCGCCCTGAGGAATTCCTACCAGTAGACTTCCCTGTACTCAAAGTGAATTTTCGTTGTGTTCTCCCTTCTTGGCTTTGTCTCATTGTCTCTCTCGTAATCATTAGATTCCTCCCCTGCTTGAATGAAAGCTAGCTCCTACTCCTCCTTCTTCTCCTCCTTTATCGTCGTTGGTTCTTTTGACATAACATTCTCGGCCGACTCCAGTCCGGTAGGTCGGTCACCCTGTAGCCAGTGACTAGTTCAGCTATGGAGCTAGGTCCGTCACGTCGAGACTCTCTTTCGAAAGTGAGATCACCACCGGCTTGTTGAAGAGGTCAATTGCATCGAACCTAAATGCAGCCGTGATCTTATATACGATACCATCGGGGAAGGACTGTTGATTCGATTCCAAAGCAAGGGTCGATGTAATTGAGAAGTAGCCGAATCTTAAGCTCAAGCCGAAGCAGGTCCTAGAGAAGCAAGCAAAGTGGGTCGAGCTGGCCTGGGACTCAATTGAAAAAAGCGTTATTTCTTCCTTAAGACTAACTAAGGGGCACTAAATTCTACCTTCCTAACCTTCCCTTTGGTACAAGAGAATTGAAAGAGAGGAATGGCCCATCAAGAAGGGCATTTTATACTAACCAACGGGAGATCCCGGCTAAGTCTTAGTCTTTGAAGATAAACCTAAAAAATCCGCCCGGTAGAGCTAAAGAAGAGACCTCGAAGAGCAGTGGCACGCGGATCAAAACATGTCCTCAGGGTCAGCTATAGTTGGTTAGTTGGATGCTGTAACCGAGTATTCTCGTCTATCGGAAGACCCTTTTTTTTAGGAGTTTACGAAACTTTTCAACAAAGCTCGCATGTTGATAGAGGTCAAAGGGAAGCATCGAGTGCTATTTCCACACTCTACGCCTAAATTGAGCCTTGGGCGGAAAGGCCAACGAACCTGTACTACCGCTTCATCCTCGAGGCGATCCCGGGCTGGATCAATCAGTAAAATAAAGGTCGCATCAATTTACACATTGGAGTCTTTCAAAAGATTCTTGTTTGAGCTCACCGTCCCCGGAGCGGAAGGTCAAGTTAGCCTTGGTCGACGCGTGGTCTTCTAATCTCAAACACAAATCGATGATTGAGAATTGACATAAAGAGAGTGGATCATCCGATTGTTAGCTAGCCTTTCTATCATCATCTTTATCTATCTTTGTCTTATGGTCCGCGAGGCACCTAGCTCCTCTAAAACTAGGTTTTAAGCAAGCAGGCCTGTCTTTCGGCTCGCGGAGTTATGCCGACTTAAACACGAATGGTCCCTCAGTTGATAGGTACGCTTGTGGATATAGTCGGATCAGTATGACCCCCCGACCCTAACTACCGTTTGCGTTGAGAGCGGGGCTTGATGGGATGTTGGAAGAAGCACGTGACTGCTTGACTAAAGCAGTTAGATGAAGGGCGGTGGATGGGAGAAGAAAGTAGGCAGTCGGCCAAGCATGGCCAACCAAAGAAAGGTTATGTGCGTCGGAAAGCAAGAAGCCTTCCAAAGAAGCTCCCTACGGTGTCCTGGTTCCAGTGTGCTGAGCGATCTTTTGAGACTGAGCACCGAACCTCCGGCTTTGGACATGAGTGACTTCTCGGTGCTCCGATTAGCTCAATACGATTAACGAATATGCTAGATTGGGCAAGTCCAGGTTTCCTTTATTTATTCATCGTTGTCGACAAGTAACGAATTTTCTTCTTCCATTTTAGCAACTCCGGTAGTATGGACCTGCTTAGGAAAGGTCTACTTGTCGATCTGCATCGGCCTCTTGGACTCCGGTAAGGTAAGCAGCATCCCCAACTCGATGAAGTTCTGCACGATTGGTCAGTTTAGAAGTCAGCCTGAACTGATTTTTCAGTCTTTGCTCAGCCCGATCGTTCCTATCTTGCCTCGAGCGCTAGGGAATTATGCAATTAAAGGTGGGCTGCCGCCAGCCTCATCCCACCTTAGAGACGGAAAGTCGAAAGAAGGCGAAGCGGCGCTGTAAAGCGTTCGAATCTTTCATTTTCCCGGGACTTTTTGTTCTTTTTTAACATGCCGATGGCAGCATTCTACTGATTGGATTACCTTCCTTATAGCATTCATTCTCTCTCTGAGTTACGGCTTCAATAGTTCGGTAAGGTAAGCCTCGTAATATGGTATGACCGAAGCATTAGCCCTGTCTCTATCCTGGGGCTAATTGAATAACAGATTCCTCTTATATTAGTATTATATTACACTTCCTTATCCTATTCTTTTAGTATGCATGGGACTTTAGGTTGCTTTCTTTGATCTTATCTGCTCACGAATGGTCTGCTATGGCAAAAAAGAGTGCGGCACTTTCCTTCAAGCAGGAAGGATGCAAGTAATCCAAGGGAAAACGACAACCTCAAGTGAGGAAAAACGGGAGCCACTTTAGTGACCTTTGAAAAGGGTCCATACTAACCTTACCAGTTATTACTGCCTAGTGCCCAGACTGATTAGAGAGTTGTTGAATAAGCAAATCGGCTGTTTACAGTTACTGCAAACAAGAAAGAAGAGCAGTCGTGTGGAAGGTCTTTCTTCGGCCTTTGCTTATCTTATGTTATGTCTAGCCTAGACTTTAAAGTCTAAGGATACGTCCCGCTAGAAGGAGTAAGAATAGTTGGATTCCTTACTAGGCTTTTATCCCTTTTCTAGGAACTAGTCAATTAAGGTAGGGTTCTTGTTAGTCTATGTCTACCCTTCTTTTATGATCTATCTGCTTGTGCTCTATAGCATAGATAAGATAAGAGGTTCCCCCCCAGCCCTAATTGAATGTTCTCCTTTTTCGATCCAAATGGAGCTAATAGTTAGAGAATAGCCAATACAGTACGGTTAAGACGAGTTCTCAGCCATTGATCGTCTTTCATTGGAAGTTTCCTTTGATGTCGGTGCTGGCGAACGAGAAGGTTTCATCCCTAGAATAGATTTTATCCTTTAGGCTAGTAGGTTATAGGGGAAAGAGCAAGCGTCAGGTCCAACCTAAACAAGCAGAAGATTTTAGGGAAGCGAGTCGTAATCGAATTTACCTACCTTTTAGCTTAGAGCAAACAGACAAGCTTATCCAGTTCTAGCCCCCTTCTAGTAACAAAAAAGCTATCCATGTCATTAGGGAGTGAGCTCGGGTGAAAGCTTTGCCAGCGAACCAGGAGCTGCCTCTCTTTTAGAAAAGGGATAGCAGGAAGAGAAGAAATAGAGGATCAACAACCGTTCAACTCTAGCGGAACTTCTAACTAAAGTTGCTCACGTTTTTTAGCAGGGTCTAGGCTACGGGGTCCTTTTAACACCTCTCTTATGCGTTCTCAATTACATTGGCCCTCATGGATGCTATCTATTCTAACTTGCTGGATGCCAATCCAACGAACGAAGCGAAGCAAAGTGAAGTCAGAAGTATTGGCGAAGCAAAGTGAAGTCATTGAAAGTATGCTCCGATAAAATGAGCTACTTGAGATCGGTCCTTCTCTCAGAAATGCCCTGGCCTACTTTCCCATATAGGTGATTGGCCAAAACATTTTAGACAGGCCTGTAGCAACGAAAAGATTAGGTCAGCAAGGCGGACAGGCCTCATAGATATTTCTCAATTCTCAAACTTCTATGACTGAACTTCGCTTCGTTTTTAGAGTCTCACTTTGCTTTCCTCGCCAACCTATATACAAGTTATGTACCAGTCCTTTCTTGATTTTCTATAGGTTACGCATATAGTACGAGCGAAGTTCAGTCATAGAGATTAGGGTCAGTGAAGTTTGATACGCTCCGTGGAACCGGAAACGGTGTCGCATCGGAGATAGAAATTGCATACCGGAAATTCGTCCCAAATGAGTTGGAGAGGAACAAGCTATCTTGTATTGCGTCTTTCCACGGCGACACATCGAAATTGAGTCCCTTAGCTACTTAGTCTGGTTTTCCCCGTCACAATCTTCTCCTTCATCATCATCGCAACATCACCATCACCATCATCTCGTCATCTCGCATCACCCTAAATCCCGCCACCATCTCCTCCGCCATCGTTTTCATCCCCGCGCCAGCACCTTGCCGCCGCTGCTACTCCTCTCCAGCGTGAAGCCCATCGCGAGTTCTCGTCATCACCATCAGCATCGCCTCATCACCATATTCATCCCGTCGCCACCATCCTCTGAACGCAGCATCGCCGGCGACCCCTGCGCGAATTTCCGCTGCGAACTGCCGACCTCCGCCGCGAACTGGGACAAGCCCCGACGACCCAATGTCCCTCCTCCGCGATGCAGCACCCTCTCAACATCTTCCGGCATCTTCTCGTTCACGAGCAGGCCCTAGCAGCGACGACGTGAACCACCACGAGCGTTCTCCACGCGCCACCGCGACTCGAGCAGCAACTCGCCGACCCGTTTCCGGCGATTCCCGAACGTAGCGACCCAATGTCGCGACCTGCTCCTCTGCGGGACGTCACTCTCAGCCCTCGACCATCAGCAAGCTCCGTCAGGCGCAAACGGACGAGTTGTTTACTCTGCGAGATAGCCGTCAACCCTTCGTTTATGTTTTCGACCGAATCCCGAGAACGGTACAAGGCTTGACCCATCTCGTTTAAATTCTATGTATTATTTTATGTGTTCGATTATGTGAGATGGGTGTTGAACGTGCTTCGTGAAGTCAAAATACGTGCCTTAGTTGAGTAATTGTGAGGATTTTATTATACAATTGCAAATTGGATATCAAAGTGATTGCCGTCACTTTGAATTATTGTCGAACTGATTCTAGCGTGGTCTATTTCATGGAAATCTTATAAGTACTTGGAGTTTTCCTTGATTTATTGGTTCTGGTTTGAGGTCGTTTCGAGTTGTATATAGGGAGTTATGATTTTTCTAATCCGAGCATGCTGCTGGACCATAATAAATTCACCATAAATCGAGTTATTGTCCGTTTGGGCTACATTTTTGATATGTTGTGACTCTGAATATGTTGAATGTGTGTACCAAGCCCCAGATTTTATCTTTGAGGTTTTGGTTTTCAAATTCTTAAATCGGTTTCTGGGCAGAAACTTCTAAAATTCATTAAACCTTGTACGCTTGGAGTTTTGAGCTGAAACTTGGAGGAACATGTTATTTTGTGTTGTTTTTATGTTGTGTAAAAATTTCAGACTGAAACTCAAAGTGTATCTATGAGAATCATTAAATGCCGATTTTGACTCTATTTTTGCTTAAATTATTTAAAAATGCTCCCGGATGAATTTAGAGCTGAAACTTGGTGAGTTTATGTGTTTTTGTGTTCTTTATAATGTGGTAAAGTTTCAGGTTGATTGGTTAATCCTAACTCCTAATTCTGAATTTAGTTCATTTTGGGGTCTTAATGATTGGTTATCTATTGTTTAGGTTAGGATTGGATTTTATTAATGTTGGCATGATTTATGTGTATTATATGAGGTATTTGAGTTGTGTCCAGGTCTGGTAGTCACTCCATAGTACCTAACTCAGTCAAGGAATCCACGAGTCACTTAGTCGATATACTTTCGGCTAAGTATATGTACCTTATGTGTTGTTTTGTATTGGGCAGTCAGTGATAGGTCATTATAAATTTCTGTAGGTTCTTCGAGCTGAACTTGTGCCATAATTCCTTCAACTCTGTGTGTGGCTATACCTCTTGCTATATCCAGGTGGGTTTTATTTGAAATTGCTATGCCTTATTGTTGTGGTATGATCAAAGTATGCATGTGAACCATGTAGCCTTCGATGTGAGCTATATTGGCCGTCGAACGATTATCCCTGTAACTATAGAACGTACCCGATGGGTAGTCTCCTTTATTTATGTATGGCAGTCAAGGCGTGAGCCTTGGCTGGTGATCCTCGATGTGAGTCCGAAGGCTAGGTTCCGGGCATTCGGGGTAGATTTACTCCTACTGACTGGGCATCGATTGTAAGACCCGTGGGGCATTTCGATACGTGTATTAGCAGTGGTCTATTGATATAGGTGTGCACATGAGAGTTGACTCTGGGATAGGAGATGGGATATTAATTGATTTGTGTTCAATCTGCGACCATACCTGCTTTATTTTATGAAATTGAATATTAATTATTGCATAGCGGTGAGCACCTCGATTTTCCTATTGTGCTCATCCCCACCTGCTCTTCATGGATGCAGGTTAGTAAGTGCGGGCACGACAGTGGGAGGCGAGTGGTGGTCATGTTACTGATTACTACCGCTGTTTAAACTGCTTAGTATTATTTATGCATTTCTAATTTACGTTGGATTTCGGATTATTGATAGGGAGTGTACTCCCTAGTATTTATGAATTTGATGAAACCAGTTTTGGGAGTTGATGTTATTTATGAACCCGGTTTGGGTGTTGGCATGATATTGAACATGTTTGGGAGTTGCATTTATGATATGGTTGAAAATGTTTTTGGAAATGAGTAGCGCCTCAAGTGTATTGAAATAAATTTTGAAAAATTTATTCTGAATTTCGGTAAATAAAAGTGGGGCGTTACAGAAGCCTCACTAGCAGAACTATGCCACGCATGATTTAGAGCTAGCCGCAGTGGTTCATGCACTGAAGATCTAGAAGATTACCTTTACGGAGGAAAGTGCAAGATTTTCACGGACCATAAGAGCCAGAAGTATATTTTCACTCAGAAGGAGCTGAATATGCGGCAGCATAGGTGGTTAGAGTTGGTCAAGGACTACGACTGCACTATTAGCTACCATCACGAAAAAGTTAATGTGGTCGCCGACGCCCTTAGTCGGAGGAGTTATGGCCAGCTGTCTTGCCTATTCACCAGGCAAGATGTCTTAGTTCGGGAGTTCGAGCGGCTACAGTTAGAGGCAGTGGAGTCGACTTCGACGGCCGGTGGTATGTTGATTACTTTGGTCGTTGGTCCGACTCTTCGGGAGAGAATATTTGTCGAGCAGCGACGGCAGACTTTGTGTTCCGAAAGTGGGTACGACTGATTGTGCTTTGGTCTTCGAGGGAAGACTTTGTGTTCCGAAGGTTTGGGAACTGCGCCGGGAGATACTGAG